GGAAAAAAAGGGGGGGGGACAGTTGTATTCAGGAAGCATAAAAATGGAAAGAAAGTACTGGTTATTTTAAGGAAGACCGTTATTAAGTTGTGAAAACCCGTATATTTTTTCTTGCTCATACAGATGCCAATAGTCCATAATTAAATTTCCTTATGCCTCCGTTTTCATTTAGATTCAGCCATGTAAGTTTAGTGTTGATGTTCCTATAGTTTAGGAACTGGCCCCATCAAAAGGAAGTCACTGTCATCAAAGGGCGTGCATGCATCCTGGTTTGCCCAGGATAGGCCCTGTCACATCTGCTGTCTGAGAATATTATAAAGACAGTTACCTTTCACTCTAAAACATGTCCCAGCTTGGATGACTTACACAGTCCACCTGGTCCTCAGTTACAAGGGAAGACAAAATGCTGTGGCCCCAAGGCATCTGGGGAAAGCAGAGTCTTACAGAGAGTTTCCAGCGGGCCTTGCAGACTCAGTTTGGCCAGTGTAATGGCCAGTGGAAACATTTTTGGGGGGCAGGAGGTAAATGCCTTTAAACAGAAAATACTCTTTCCACTTTCACGGTGTGCCTGCCCACACCTCTTTAGACATGAGCCCCGATGGCAGGTGAATTATTATTTCTGAATATGTGAAGCATAGGTAAATGTATCAGGTGATATGACCCGAGATGTCTCTTAACGGTTAATAACGTATTGCTCAAAGACAGGGATTGGAAATATTTAAGCTTTGTGCTGCCCTTCCTAAATGCAAAATAATGATGCTGTTGATGATTTTGATAATGAGGAGGAGGAAATAGATTTAATTTATCAATTTCTACTTGAAAGATGCAAAACTATCCCCATGTTGAAAGGAAATGGGCTTCTTGAATGCCTCAGAAGGATAGCTGATTTGCTGAGACTGTCTACATCAGTTTTCAAAGTGTGGCCCTATGGCATTTCCTGAGACGGTTTCAGGAGTTGTGTGGGGTGAAACTCATTTTAAAGATAATATTTTTCTTTTTTGTATTTATTTTTGCTATGTTGACTTAAGGATGTCTTTAACGAATCAGTAAAATTTCTTAATTATGTTAAATCTCAATCCTTAAAAAAAACATATTTTTAATAGTCTGCATGTCAAAATAGAAAATACGCATGAAGGATATGAAGGCAAAATGTTTTTTGAGGGACACTTACTTCTGTGAGCATTTGTATTTCAAGTCGAATTAGTTACCTTGTCCCCCCACGGAACACCGTTTTTACTTGAAAGGACAATCAACAGAAAAACTGTAGCTATTCAGACTAGAGTACTAGTTATGCATTTTCTCAAAAAGTGAATGAAGTGGGCCAGTCAGCGCAAGGAAAATAGTATTTGCTGCCAAGAATGAATTCAAACTTTTAGGCTAAATTAGAAATTTGGAAAACTTGTACCCACCACTGGGAGTTTGACAGCCTTTTTGATGGGGTTGGTGGTGATAGTAACAAATGAGATTTTTTGATAGTGTATAATGAAATGTGTCAACATTTGGAAGACCTGTCTAATCCAGTGTACCAATCCAAATCATCATTGATTGATGTGACAAAATCAGGCATGGGTAAAAGATGTATTCCAAATGCAAGATAGACCAATGGATTTTTATATAGTATAGCATAAAATGTTTATCAATATAGTGTCAGGTTCCACATAACAACTCACTTTCAAGAAATTACTTATTGAGTTTGGGTTTAGAGTTAAAGGATGAAATCTACAATTACCTGAAAATGCTATTAAAATGTGCCTCCCTTTTCCAACTGCATATTGTTTGAAGTCAGTTATTTTCACATTAAGTCAACCAAATCAACATATCAGAACAAAGTGTAGAAATGACACAGTAACCTAGTTATTTTCCATTAAAGCACTCATTTAAAAATTCACAAAAATACAGGGTGGGGTAAAAGTAGGTTTACAGTTGTTCATATGGAAAAGAATACAATAAATAATAAAACAAGAATAAACTCTGTGTTTTGTGTACTCACAACTGTAAACCTACTTTTGCCTCATACTATATAAAATATTACCACTTTTCTCACTAATATTTTTATTTTGGAAAATATAGGGTTTTTAAAATTATTGATTAGAGAGAGGAAGGGAAAGAGAGAGAGAAACACTGATGTGAGACATTGCTTTTCTAGAGAGAGTGAGAGGGGGGAGAGGAAGAGAGAAAGACAGAAAGAAAGAAGGAAAGACCAGTGTAGCCTTCAACCAAGGTAAATACATACCCTTGACCAGAATTGAACCAAGATGCTTCAGTCTGATGGCAGATGCTCTAACCACTGAGCAAAATTGGCTGGGCCCAAGGGTTTTTCATCTACTCTATTATGGAGCTTAGAGGGAAATCTTTCATTTGCTCTTAATATATTTTCATTGTGTTTTAGTCATTAACTTTTAATTTTTTTTGCCCCTTGTATAATTTCCATCCACTTTGCAACACTAGAGTTTAAAGTAACTATTTTCTCTTAAAATAATATATGTTCCTATAAAAACCTTTAGAACATATAGAAAAATCTAAAGATGAAAATAAAAAGTCCCCATAATCCTTCATGTAAAGATAACCGTCGCAATTATATCACTATCCTCCCTATTTTGAAACACAAACATACTTTTTAAATTTATCTTTATTGTGGAAAATATTACAGATGTCCCCTTTTTTCTCTGTTAACCCCTTCCACCTCGCACCCACCCCCTGCCCCAGGCCTTTACTACACTATTGTCTGTGTCCATGGGTTATGCGTATATGCATATAATTTCTTTGGTTAATCTCCCCCCATCCACCCATCCACCCCTACCTTGCCTCTGAGATTTGTCAGTCTGTCCCATGCTTCTTTGTCACTGAATCTATTTTGTTCATCAATTTATTATGTTCTTTAGATTCCACATATAAGCGATATCATGTGATATTTGTCTTTCTCTGCTCAGCTTATTTTGCTTAGCATAATACTCTCCAGTTTTGTTGGTACTTTTAAAAACCACCTTTTAAGGGAGAAAAATAAGGCAGACGTCAGGTTTAATAATGTCTGTGTAAATAGCCATAATTAACCTAATAGTACAAACATAAACCAAAAATCAAACTCAACCAAACAAATATATAAAAAAGATCACTTGGTAATTTAAATCACTGGGATGGGTTTGATTTGTTTTCACTTTCATGTGTTATGTTTCCGTTATTTATTGCTACATAACAGGCCACTCTGAAATTTAGTGACTTAAAACAACAGTTTATTATCTCTTAATTCTGGGGTTGCTCCTAGCAGTTTTTCTGCTGGTTTCGCTTTGATTCACTCATGTGCATTTGGCCGAGGTGGAAGGCCTCATTCATCTGTCCGTCAGCGCTGGTTTCTGGGTGGGGGCCTCAGTGACCCTCACCTTCCAGCTGCTTAGGCTAACAAGGTAGTCTCAGAAGGGGACATGGCAGAAACTGTAAGGCCTCGTTAGGCCTTGGTTCCAGAATTCATACAGTGTGACTCAACACCACAATCTATTGGTGAAAGCAAGCTCCAGGGCCAGAGTAGGTTTAGATCATGAGGAATTACACCATCGATTGTGGATTGAAGCACTTTGTGATTACATTTAATCTATCACAATGTTGTGAAACATAGGAACTGTTTTTTATTAAAAACATTTCTATTAGTTTTTTTTGAAAATTCCCATAATATCATAATTTATTAGATTAGAGAAATATCTTTGGAGAAATGATACCAAACTTCTCTGCCAAAAGCTGACGTTTCCTTCTTACACGAATAAACTCAAAATGGATTAAAGACTTAAATCTTCAACGTGAAACCATAAAAATCCATAGGCAGTAAAATCTCAGATATTTTTCGTAGCAATATTTTCCCTGATATATTACCTCCGGCAAGGGAAACAAACAAAAAAATAAACAAATGGGACTACATGAAACTAAAAAGTTTTTGCACAGCAAAGGAAACTGTCAGCTGGATGAAAAGACAAGCCACTGAATAGGAGAACATATTTGCCAATGATACATCTGATAAGGGCTTAATATCCAAAATTTATAAAGAATTTATATAATAGGAAATGCATTGGGTGAAGCAGAATGATGCAGCAGTACTTTATTCACCCAGAATCTCAGCTCTAGGGACAAACTCAGTCTTTGTAAAGTTGTTAAAAATAATCACAAGGCTTAGAAACAGCCAAACATATTGTAATAAAGAACAAAGTTCAGTGTAGCCTCCTTTTTGAAGACAGCCGATATTTTCTTGGTACCTTCTATATTCTAACCCGCTGCACTTTGTATGTTATTTAACATAACTCTAACATGTCTATCTTATTTCCCAATCCACAGAAGCAATAAACAAAGCAGAAGGAAGTGGAAGAGATATTAGTGGCAGGCAAACTGAATATATTAAAAAGTTTGGGGTGATAGCATTTGCAGTAGTCACTGATAATATTGTCTTGCTTTCTAATAAGGAGAAAGCAGCAAGGCCTTTAGCCCAGATGAGTGACTGTAATCTACTTTTTCCTCTTGCCTTATACCATGATATTATCAACAGCTGAGACTATCCCAATAGCATAATTCTAGAAGTTAGGGACAGAAAAACTCTTTTAGGAGTTTATTTCATACGTTTCATTGGCATCTTTCCCTTTTTCTGCCCTTCTCCATCACAGTGTCTTGCTG